TGCAGCATATATCGTGCAGCATATCTGTGCAGCAGCATATATCTATGCAGCATATATCTATGCAGCATATATCGTGCAGCATATCTGTGCAGCAGCATATATCTATGCAGCATATATCTATGCAGCATATATCGTGCAGCATATCTGTGCAGCATATATCTGTGCAGCATATACGTGTGCAGCAGTGACAGCCTGCAGGCTTCTCCTGATGTGTGCGTCTCTCTCGCTGAGCGGTGCTGCAGCTCTTCTCTTCATCATCATCATCATTAATATGCCAGCCACGGTGCGTCATGTGATCATCCCTCCCTCTCTGTGTCCAGAGGAGACAGCGCCAGCAGGAGAGGAGTCGGTGACAGAGAGGACAGGAGTAAGAAGTTGATCAATAAATAAAAATAAATAAATAAAGTGTCCTTTGGGGATCATGACGCTGCGGGACGAACTTCTAAAGTCCATATGGCACGCCTTTACTGCTCTGGATGTGGACAAAAGCGGGAAAGTCTCCAAATCTCAACTGAAAGTAAGTTTCTCGTGTTGGATTTATATTTTTTTTAGGTCTTGGCTGCTTTAGGTGAACAGTTGTCTCCGTTTCTGGTGTTTCTGGCTTGTTTATTAGATCTTATCGCGTCTCTTCCTCCTCTGAGAACACAGTGCGCCTCTGTCTCTAGCTGCAGAGGCGCACCTGGTAATGGGCTGACATCCAACTACTGGGAGAAAATAAAACATCAACACCAATCAGAACATAAAATAAGGTTTTAGAACAATTGATTGGATCATGAATCTTTGGTGAAGAAAGCAAAAACAAGCGGTACTCCTTCCTAATGTGGCATCCCTCACTCTGAGCGCTTTGTTCAGCAACAATTAAAGTCCACAAACTCCAGCTGGCTGGGATAATGCAGAGAGAGAGACAATTAAAATCATGAAGGACTACTTGTTTTTGTGAAATATGTGAAACTGGTTAGATTGGTTACACCACATTTGCTCTCAGCTTGACTACACCAATGCTCTGCCAACTCCACAGGACCATGTGAAAATATGTTGGTGAAGGTCTACCAAACTTTAATTCTTAAACACAAATACATGTTTTTTGCTAAAAGAAAAGTCATTTTTTTCTGGTAAAATGCAGCAAAAGACTCATAAGTTCACCTTTCTACAACCAAACCTACAACCAGAAATCTGATTCAGCTTTCCATTGGATATTGTGCTGTACAGTAATTATTAAAATTATTCATAGGCAGGCTAATAGATGTCATAAACATCTAAACATTTTCATTGTCTATAGCATATATTGTCCATTTAATACATTAACATTAATTTGCAAAATAGTAAAAGTATTAAGAGATCTAAATGCTCTAATGTTTCCCTGGAGGAACCAAGCAGCTGGGTTCTTATGTTTGTCACAGGAACTGCAGCTGATTGCATTTCTTTAAACTCCTTTACTGAGTGTTATTCTTTCCCTTTGTGAAAGACGTATTCAGTAATATGCCTGGAGAGTTATGGCTTAGCCCAGTTTGGAGATTTTCATCCAAAATTCATTGATGTGTGTTTTCCAAACTCATGACCTGTGGTCAGCTTTGACCAGAAATAACTTGGAAACGATAACATGTCGTCCATGTAGCGTAAAACTAGACACAGTTTGGTCCAAATGCAGGGACAGCCAGAAGAAGGTCCATTAGAAGTTTCTTTTACTGTCCCAAAAACGTTTGTTTTTCTGAGAATATTAGGTTTCCGATGCCTTTAAAGCATATTAATGGCCCTTTTTTTAATGTTTACTTTTTGACAAACACTAATTTTAATGTGTCTTAGTGGTTGTTTTACATGATAACTAAAACAAAATGTAGAATAATTGTGAAGATGGTAAAGAATACTTATATATATAACTGAAAAGTATTACATGCTTTCATAATTCCCCACATTTATTGTAGAATCCTGATAACAAACAGAAGCACAGCTAGTTTACTTCAGTGGTTAGAAAGAGTCCAAATGTGAATAGAATCAGCATAGATCCTGCTGCTGTCTGAGGTTTGTTGGAAAACATAAGGGAACAAAAAGCATAAGGAAGATTCTGGAGATGTTTCAGTGCAGTGAACTGTGCAGTCCAAACTTTGACCATCTGGAGGCGCATTGTTCGGTCAATCAACTGGGACTGGAAAACGCCTCGGGTTGAGGAATTCATTGAAAGGATAAGCATGAAGGTCCATCATCGTAACAAAATTGCAAGCATGTAAATCAAATGCCCACCTGTCGTTCTTTTTGGTTATTGGAGTCTTTTGTTGTGTTTGGGTTTTTTTCTGTTTGGTCATTTCAATCATGCTGAGTGTTCTTGTGTATTGTCTTTGAAATAATCTTGGAAGCAGTTTTTTTTATCAAAGATGGCTTCCTTCATCCCCCTTTCAAACCTCATCTGTCCTCTCTGTCCAAAATCTGAACATTTTGGTGATGAAAGGTTCCTCAGTGCTGCTGGCTCTCCTATGCTGCTCCATTTCTGTGTCACCTCAGCAGAACCCAGGGCTGATGGCCTCCATGCCACGGTGCCTTGATGACGAATTTCAGAATCCCAAAATTTATGTTTGAAAAATATTGTGTCTTTATAGTAGTCTGAAATACAAAATTTTGGGGTGTTCTTCATTTGCAAGCCATAATCTTAAAATTAATAAATAAATATATATTTACTGTGTTTTGTAAAACAATAACAGTGCTTTGCAGCCTCTAAAATCCAAAGAGCCAAAGCACAGCTTATTTTTTTTCAGATGTATACTTTATTAAATCTGTTGCCATTAAAAATAACTAATAGTCTATTTGTATTCTTTAAAATGAAGGAAAAGCTAAAACTTCACAGGGATGGGTGGATTCGCTTCTTTAGGATATCAGATCTTCCTTTCAAAACAAAAACAAACAAAAAACATAATTTTCAAGCAAACGACAAGAAAAATGAACCAAAAAACATATTTCTGGTACCTTAAAAATCGTTCTATTGCGGAACTTGAATTCAAATTTTCTTTAAAAAAAACATCTAAAGCTCCTTAGACTGGTATTTGTTGTTATGATGTATTCAAAACCATATTAGTCATTAAAAGACGCTACACGGAGCCAAATAGCCTCAGTTTGTAGACCTGTGATCAGTCTGGGCAGTTTGGGCAATCAGATGCTGATATTATAATTATTTCCTTTTACGAAATAGTCTATCATTCTCCTGCGATCTCTAAAAGGCCAAGGCGAGTATTTGAGCTCTGCTCATAAAGTATTTACCATCTAATCTCTGCCAGGTTCAATTCTATAAATTCAATCTTCAGGAAGGAAATCCGTCCACCAGCTTTGATCAAGCCAGTGACCAACAGTGGAAGAGTTGCTCCACTAAATACAGTCCTCCAACCGTAAGGCATAAAATGTTAAATCCACAATATTGCATTTCATCAGGTCTTAATCATCCAGCATTGTTAAAGAAACATACAAGTTGATAAGATAAATATATTTCTCATGTTGGCGGCCTGTAGCCTAGCAGAGTTTTTTCTAGTTGCCACTCAGCCAAAGTGAGTGATTTCCTTACAGTTCTGGTATAATCTAAACATAAAGTTACTCTCCAAAGGCTTAAGATTTATTGCATAGAAGCTTTTTTTGTTTTTGTTTTTTACAATGAAAAAGCTAAATAATCAAAAAATGAGAAAAAAAAAAGCAATTAATTTATTTTCTGGTTTTCAGGTGCTTTCTCATAACTTATGTACAGTGCTGGGAATCCCCCACGACCCGGTGGCGCTGGAAGAACACTTTAAGGATGACGACGAGGGTCCTGTTTCCAATCAGGGATACATGCCGTACCTCAACAAGTTTATCCTGGATAAGGTCAGTAACGCCACAAACCAACATGGAAGTGTTTTCAAGGTTGCGTAGCTCCAAAGTTCACACTCGCAGTTTTCTCTGGTATTGAGGTTTCTGTGAGGAGGAAATGATTCACTCTGAGTCAGCAGTCTGTGCCATGACTGTTGATCAAGGGTTGTCTGAAGGGAAATGCCACATTATCAGAGCAGGAAAAGAAGATAGTGGGACATAAACTGGGGCAGTAGGCCGTCAGGTTTAAACGTTACACATAGTATGAGTACAACACAGCAGAAGAATTTAAGAGGCTACACCTTGGAAGACATAACAGCTGATTGGTAGGACTTTTGGGCCTGAGGGGCCCGTTCTGCACACACAGGTTAAACTGAAAATATGAAACAATCGTTTTCTTTACACAAAATAAACATTTAAAAACTGCTAATCTTTTCATGCCAGAAAAAAGGTCCAGCTACATTTTCTCCACATTTATGGAACATGGCTCTGCCGCTGCTGTTGCAATCTGCTGGTGGAATAAATTCCACTACTTTCTTGGCGAACGGCGTGGAAATGCAGAATTATTTACAGCAAATTCAAAAAGGAGACCAAAAAAATGCAGGAAAAAAATGCTGCCAAGGAGAAAAAGCTGCAATTACAGAAAAATAGACGGTAGTTAAGTGGATGAAGTAGAGCAAACACAAGAACTGCTGCAAACACATAAATATTTCTAATTCAATCCTGGGAAATCCGAACAGAATATTCCGACCAGCATGTTTACATGACTCCTTTTCTATTACCTCTCTCCATGTAAACTTAGCTGTTCTTGATTGTAAACTGCCACTAATGGTTTATAATTCAAGTATAAAATTTTACTTTTTTTATCTCAGTGTGCCAGCCATATACACTGTAAATGTGTCTATTAATGTGGCCCTTCTGTGAGTCTTTCACTCCTTGCGCTGAGAGCTAAACACTGACCTCGCTCATTCAGCCCTTTTATGATGATGTCATGGTGCAGTATCTGCATAAAAAGGCTGTGTCATCCATTCAGCCTGACATTTTGAAAAAGCCTTTTCTTCCGTTATGTGATGTCATCCCATGGGATTACTATAAATAGGAGCTGCTGTGACACAAGCTTTCTATTGCAAATAGAAATTTTTAAAGAATAAGAAATGTTCTTAGTGTTTCAATTAATCGTTACTACAGTAGCCCAGAAGGGACACACCATGTATCCATCTCTAATAGCCAAAGCAGTTTGGACTGTGCTCTGATAGCATGTATTACTATAACAATGGCTCATTGTGTTTGTTTTCTGTCCTTTTTTTAAGCCAAAAGATGTCAGCCTCCTATGCTAGTCATTTTATTTCTCAGGTTAAGTAAAACACATTGCATACAGAGTAACCACGTGTTTGTCTTTGATCACACCAAATATGAGACGTTCTGAGATTTTCACCACTATAATCCAGCATGAATACATTTCTTTAATTTTCCAATAGAAAAGCATCAAATATTCCAGTAGTATGAGGTGCAGATATCTGTTAATTTAGCTACACATCAGTTCCCCACATCAAAGTGATATCTGACTCGATGCTTTATCTCTGCTCTTTCTTTTTATCCCCCTCTCCTGTTGACCTGTTTTTGTGGTTCATGTCAACTTTTGCCACTTAGAGGGCAGAACCAACCTTATAAGTGAACTTCTTGTGATTAGCTACTTTATAGCCACCACTGGTCCCAACAAACTCAATAAGTTGTTACATTCATGCTGATTTTGCACAGTTTCTGCATTAGTCCGTTAAATAACATGCTGCTGTCATTTTGCACATCTCTGATGTTGCTGCTATTATCAAATATCTATTACTGTAAACATGTCTATAGCTGGATATTGGTTATTTATTCTCCAGATACACAGTATTTATATTGTTTAAACACTTTACAGTGCAGTATTTCATTTTTTTTTATCTTTTAAATCTATATTATTATGGTATTCTTGTTGTGTAAACACCAGAATTTCCCCGTTGTGGGACGATGAAGGGATTTTTTTATTCTATTCTATTTAGGAAATCACGCCTCTTCCAACTGTACTGCTTCCTTCATGGTTGCACCTAGCAACCTTTTAAATAGCATCTTTAGGCTGTGTCACTACCTGATCCGTAGCGGAAGATCCATCGCTCATTTGCGCATGTGCAAGCAGATATTCATCCAGGTCGCAAGTACTATTTTATCAAAAGTACTTAATCTTATTCTTAAATCACTAAAGAATGCTAATACAAATCTTAAAATTTTTTATAACTGTTCTGACACAATTTTTATGCTTTTTACATTTTCTTCCTTAAACTGCTTCTCTGACGTCATTATGGGACATGCTCAGAGCAGTCCGACAAAATATGATTAATCTGCATTTTAGTTGTTTCTTTCTTTAGATTACGTACTATAAACCATAATGTTAACATGAAAGGAAAACATAAAACTCAAAAAGGTTAGGTTAGGTTTTTGTTAAAATCCAAAGTTAGCTCCCCGAAGAAGCGTAGGATCCCATTTCCGATCCAGACGAGTGACAAAACAGGATTTAAATGCATTTATTGTCTTGAGAAATACATTAACCTTTAACACATTATATTTTAGTATGCTTATTATTTTTAAGCAGGGAAAGTTGTCATTTAAGTATTTTTTATAAATAAAATTGAGGGCGACCCGAACGTATATCTGGATGCCATGCACAAATGAGCTGATGGTACGGATCATGCTACCGGTACAGATCAGGTGAGAACAGGCTGTTCAGGCTGTGAAGGAAACTGTTCTGCCTTAAGAGGCGGGATAATGAAGTCAATAAATTCTGCAGAGAATTAAAAAAAGAGCACTAACCTGTCTGAGGGAGGTTTGAGAGATGGTTAATGTTATTGCTAACATTAAAATTCTAGATATAAACATCCCTTTGTGATCGCCTGGCTGGCCCAAAAGAAAGACTGAGACACCCCAGCCCAAGATAAGACTGTCAAGGCCGTTACATGATCGACTGCGAATAATCGGTCTCCAGACCCGGTCCTGGTGTTGAGATCTTCTGCTCATGCAGGTCTGTGACTGGAGTCTGATCCAGGCTGCATTGAAGGAGCAGTTTGAACAACCTGACAGAAAAGAAATAGAGCTGAGCACTAAGACCTGTGGTGTGAATATAGAACAAACCCGTCTGCCTTTCACTGTTTGGTACATATTCTTTGGACAGATTGATTTGTTTGTTTTCTTCTTTTTAAACAGCATTCATTTAAAGGAAAAAGTCTTTCCCCACAGCGTTATGGTGACGCCGCCGTGTTTCTCTTTGGGAATTTTGTGTTCTAGCTGATGTTCTGTTTGTCTTTGATGTTTGGAGGATAAACAGAAAAAGTAGAGGTTCGAACAGAACGCCTCTGCCAGACCTTTGAAGTGTGTCTTGGGTTATACTGTAGCTTTATTATGTGTCAAACACTTTGATCAAGGCCTTATTTATTTATCTATTTATTATTAACATCTCTGGCATCTAAAGCTGGGGAAGTTAGATAACTGCTATGACAGATTGAACACATATTTCCGTGCACCATAAGCCTTTCAGGAAACTGCATGTTCTACTCCATTACTACATTTCATGCCTTCTGGGTTAATGTTTGGAGTAAAGAAATCATGGACGCACATTAAAGAGACAATTGCAGGATGTTGCTGAGAGCATTCATGAAATTCTGGCAGCTAATGAAGAACCTGTGGATGTTATTCAATATCTCCTAGACAGAAAAAGGAGATCATAAACCCAGCCTGGATGGAGGAGGCAGCAGCTTCACAGGAGAGCCTAATAGGAGGATCTTTACAGACTATTTGGCCAGTTTGCAACCAAATATAACCAACAATGGCTTTAAATAAAGTAAAGCCTCCTGTTTGCTTACTTTTTTGGAAAGTGCAGATTAAGAAAAATAAACTGACAAGCCAAATGAAAGGGTTTTCTGGCTGTTAGTGAAGAGAAATTGGGGCTTCCCACAAAAGCGAGAATCTCAGTTTATTCTTTTTCATTTCACATTGAATATCTATGTGACAGACCGACAAAAGGTGGCAAATATTCTACCATATCACTAAAAAATAAGTTGATATGCTTTTGTCAAACCAAGTAGTAATCTTACTGAGGGATTCATTCACTGTAGTTCTATGGATAAGACATGCTTCATTTGAGAGCTTTCCTCACCTTCCGGTTCGTTATTAGATCTGCTGCTGCTGTCAACATTTCAAAATTACACAATTTACCTTCCTTTGGTTGTTTTTGGTTTCACAGGGAGTTAGTTCAGACAGAGATACCTCCGCCGCACACAGGTCGGCATACAGCCAGCAACTGTGGGAATTCTTTTCATTTCAAAGTGTCTTTTTTAGTTCCTTGTTCCTTTTAAAACCGGGTGATTAAAAGTAGTTGTCAGACGTGTTTTCCTTGTGAGACAATTTAGTAGATGTGTATGAACTTTTCAGATGAACCAGAGTTACAAAATAAGGGATGTTATGTAACAACATCCAGGCTGTTTGAAGTTATCATTTAAACCCCATGTTAATTTGTAAGAAAATATAAAGATGCTTAAAGTAGATTTAACTTTCTCTGCAAATTTTTTTCCTTTAAGATTGTAAAAGAAATGTTTACACAACTGCTTTACTTATAGTTTTATATAATGGTCTCTCTGGGTTTAATTCTGATGTGTCCCTAATGGACTCATCCTTGAATTGGGCTCCCAAGCCTAGAAAAGGCTTTCTATGGAGAGGATTTTGATACATTATTGTTGGAAGCAAATAACATGTTTTTATATATTAAAATTTGTAAACAATGAATTCAGAAAAAGAATGAATTCTTAGATTTCAGTTTTTCTTATTGAGAATAGAATAGAAAATCCATTTATTGCCCCACAATGGGGAAATTCTGGTTTTTATAGCAGCAAAAAGATTATAAAGAAATGGTCACACAAATGTGGACCTTAGAAAAGTTTTTAAGAATAACATAATAGTAAAAGGAAAATAGCAGCAACATCAGAGATGCG